ACCAGATTACAAGCAGTCGGGGCCGCATGTTGTGAAGAGCAGGTGTCTCTGAGACCACGTTGTTTCAGCCACAAGGTGGTCAATCTTTCCATAATGACAGGCAGTTCTTGGGGCAGGAAGATGACTGCATTCCGACATGAGATCCCATGTCCCAGGGCGTACAACTCCCAGGCAGAACCCCTGAGCCACCTGGGCCGTTAGGTTTAACCTGTCTCGCCGTTTCCGCGTGGAGGGTAGTTGCGGGGTGGGAGGCGGGGGGATGATGCTTTCTGTAATCGGAACAGCACCATTACTGTTAACAGAGCATGGCTCATATTTCTTATTGTAGATCAGCGGTTCTCAACCTGTGGGTCTTGACCAAATCGGTTGCATTCCCAGCACAGAGGCCCATTATCCAGTTCCAGGCGTGTGAGGGGGGCGGCGCCCTGAGGGACGGACCTTCACAGGTTTCCTAGTCTGAGCACCGGAAGAATGGAGCTGGTGGACACAAAATCCGGAATTCGCAGGGACATCGGGGTTCAGGGGGCAATCAGCAGGGGTCTGCCCCACCTCGGAGCCAGTCCTGGTGTCCTGGGCCCAGGTCGGGGAGGGTCACCACCTCCCAGAGACGGGCAGTCAGTGCCCCAAGGGGAGGAGGAGGCCCGCAGTGCCCACGGCTTCAGGAAGTCTGGCAGGTGGCAGCCGAGTGAGAAGGACATAGAAAGGCCATGGCCCTGCCACTGTGGCTCAGTGGTTTGAGCATCAACCTATGACCCAGGAGGGAACAGTGAAATAAAAAGTGCTTAAGCTAAAGGAGGCAGGCCCAGCCGGTGTGGCTCAGTTGGGGTCAACCCTATGAACCAGATCACAGTTCAATTCCAGTCAGGGCACATGACTGGGTTGCGGGCTCAAGCCCCAGTAGGGGGCGTGCAGGAGGCAGCCGATAGATGATTCTCTCTCATCATTGATTTTTCTATTTCCCTCCACCTTCCAAAGTCAATAAAAACATTAAACCCAGGCAGTGTAGTTCA